CTCCTCTCCCTCTCCCCTCTCTCTGCTTCCCCCTCTCTCTGTGTGTAACTCTGACTTTGAAATAAGTAGATAAACCTTAAAAAAAGGAAAGCTTAAGAGATTAGAATATATGAGTTCCATGAGACCTCTCCCTCTCCCTCTGCCACTTCTGCCTCCTCTCTCCGCCTCCCCCTCTCCCTCTGCCCCTTCTCTCTGCCTTCCCCTCTCCCCCTCCCCCTGCCTCCCTCTCTCCCTCTCCGCCACCCCATGCTTGGACTTGTTCCTCTCCCCTTCTAAATGCATACACCTCTCCCTATCAAACTACCCGAGCCGGCTGATCACGATCACCCCGGATGAGAGAAACGACGTTGAGCTCCCCCCACCTCTGCTTCCCCCTCTCTGTGTAACTCTGAATTTGAAATAAATAGATAAACCTTTTAAAAAAGGAAAGCTTAAGAGATTAGAAAATATGAGTTCCATGAGAACACGGAAGAAACCAAAAATAAAAGATGTTGAGTCCTTGCTTGATCACTTTCCAGTGATGGGAAGCTGATTTTTCACATGTGGCTCACTTCATAGTCAGATAAATCTATTTACTCAAGAACAGCTCTTCTAAGGAGTCAGAATATTCTTTGGAAATTCTACTTAGATGTCCAGTCACTGCTCCCTGGAATAACCAAGGACATTTTCTCTATGTGCTCAACTGAAAATATTTTGGGTCTCACAAGTGAGTATCATTGGCCCTTTCAAATAGTTCTCACATGGCATGATTTCCATGCCATCTTCACCATCGTGGTACTTTTAGTCCATAGCATTAAGTTGTATCCTGCACCCCAACAAGCCAGTCAGAACATTTCAGTATCGCCTGGATTAGTGTTAACAATGATATAAAAGTTAATTTAGCAGGAAGTTAGATAACAATTACAATACAACTTCTTGTTTACTAATGTTTGATTTTCAATAATGGAAGATGTTTCTTATAACCAACAAAAGATATAATTCAAGTTATGAAGGAGAAAAAATTTCTGGAAGGTGTATGTAAAACCCTGGACATAGATGAATTCAAGGTGCTAGAGACTGTTGGCCTCTTACATTCATATTTTGGAAATCATAATTCCTAAGGTAATTGTGTCAGGAGATGGAGCTTTGAGGAGATATTAGGACATGAGGACTGAGCCCTTATGAGTATGATCAGTGCCCTTCAAAGAGAAAAATCAGAAGGGTCCCTTGTCCCTTCTACCATGTGAGGGCAGACCAAGAAGATGATCATCTGTGTGGAATGTTATCAAATCTGGTGGTATCTGGTATTGGGCTGTGGTTTAAGGCTCCCCATTGTAATTACAGCAGTTTGAATGAACTAAGGCAAAGAGAGAAGGGGTGTGTGTGTGTGTGTGTGTGAGAGAGAGAGAGAGAGAGACAGACAGACAGACACAGAGACAGAGACAGAGATGTGTGTGCACTTCTGTTGAGATTTTACAAGAGGAAATAGGAAAGCACAATAGCCAACAGGTAACAAGAGAAAATGATCTAGGAGGGAAAAGAAGAAAATAATTTTTAAAAAACTGAACTATTCTCATCAATTATCTTATAAATCAGTAATGGGGCTAGTAAGAGAATGAATGCATACAACAGGCCAGCTGAGAGCAGGAATCATGAACCTACACATTGAGAGTGGTCTGAGCATCTTTACTTCATGGGATGTTTGGAGACATCACCTTAAGAAACAAGTATTTTCCAACAGTGTAGGAGGAACACAGCTTACAGTTTACAGATCTTTCAACAGTAAATTAATCTCAGCACAGCACTGGAGACACCACACAGCCTTTAAAACCAATCCCTGTCGCCACTGTCAAATAGAGTACCATCATATCTGTGGGCAAAGCACCAAGTTCTCAGACAGATACACAAAGAAGGCAGTCACTTCCAGAGCTGATCCTTTACCATGCATCTTAATGCTCTTCCCTCACTGCTCAGGGCTCTAGGAAAGTTGCATTTAAAAACTGACAGATAAGCTGGAGTCTTTCTATACACAATGGTTCAGTGTGTTAAAAATGCTACTTCCCGATAATAAAAGGAAATAAACAATGGTCAGGATAGGTAAATGAAGTAATCAATGGAGCTTTCTATCTATGTGGATAGATCACTAACCTATTAGATGTGTGGCTACTGACCTCGCTGACTTGCTGCCCCACTTTTAGATGTGCTTTGCTCAGGTTGTGAACTTTCCCCTCTTCCACGTGCAGGTAGTCCAGCATCTGCTGATGGACCTCCCGTGCAGTCTTGGTTGCTCTGTTAAGTTTGTTAAGTTTAGAGATCCCACCTCCTCAGTCAGATTCTTGGCTTGTGAGAAGCATACACCATGGATGGGCTGAGAATAATAGTGCCAACTTCTCTCTTTTGTAGTCCAAAGTCTCATAAGATATCTGATGTCATAAAGAGCTACATTTAGCCACGTTCCTAAAATGTTTTAAATTTTAAATTTACATATTTCACAAAAGATCTGCTTTCTGGCATGGTTAGGAAGTGAGGAACTCCGGTTAGTCACATAACTTCAATATAGCTCATTGAATGGCCAACTTTCAGAGAATCATACTACTGTATGATAATAACATCACAAAAGGTAATACTTTGAGGATTTATGCATATTATGCTATACCTCAGTGTCTCAACAAAGTAGCAGTTAAAGACAGCTTCCAGTTGATGGAATAAGCAAAATTGAAAGCTGCTTTTATCAGGCCCACATGCTTTTTAAGGAAAGGAACCATTCGAAACGACAGCTGCTATATAATTGTCTTCAAAATCATGGTGTCATAGAGATTAGTTGTTTCTCAAAAGTTTGATATAGACTGGTCACTAACCTCAATCAACACATAGATACACAAATTAAAACCCTCAACTAAAACAAACAAAACAGGGAAGTCCTTAACTGGAATTAAAGTGAAAGCCTCAAGGTGAAATTGCAAATCCATGGCAGAGCTGGGGATGTAGACACATCCCAGATCACCTTTCAGCAAACCCTATCATGCTAGCTCTCCCTCCAAAAAAGGAAACTTGGAAGCCCAACGAAACCATTTTGCCCTTTCTAGTGAATTTCAGATGCAATGAGACTGCAACAAATAAAAACGTTTCATTTGGGGGATTAAATGGAATTCTCTAAATTCAAATTAGAAATCTGAGTTAGGACAACACAGGTCCATCACACCCTTTATTTCATGCAGAATCTGAAATCCAGCACTGTAAAGTTGTAGGCTACTGTGCAAATTAACTCACAGCAGAGCAACTTTGATATCTCAGCCTGATTTGAGGGTGGAGTAGCTGCATCTAGGCCTTCCTAACGTTACAGCAAAAATACCTTGTGCTCTGTAACATGCCTCTCCTTCTCCGACTTTGCCAATATTGTTTCCAGGTCATCGATTTCTTTCTTTACCCCGGAACGTTCATCTTCGAGTTTCCACCCCCTGGCAGGCAGCTCACAATTTATCTCCTCTTCTTTCTTCACCGCTCAGACAGCTCCTTGACTCTGGCCTCCAGCTGGATCGTGGATTTAATCAGACACTCGCACTGTTCTTCAACATTTGCCAGGGTCTTGTGCTCCTGCCACGATGAGGAGAAAATTGTTGCCAACAGCTGGAAGTAATTTATCAGCAAGTCGAAAATGCTGCTTAACACGTAGCAAAAAGATAATTGCCTGCCCTCCGCCCAGCACATTCACCTGCCTTTCCTAAGCTGCTCAAATAATATTCCCAGGTCCCTGATCCTCTTGCTGAGAAGTGGAGGAGTTGCTTGTGTTTGGAGGTGCTTTCAATCTCTCAGGCTCATTCAGTAGATTAGATTACCCTTTCTAAAGCACTTAATAGGATCATGATGACCTAAAGGTGCTTAAATCACAGCTTCTGGAAGCATCCATATGGGCACATGCCTTGAGGTTAGTACGTCTCAGAATGTGGTCTCCAAAGAAAGCAGTGTGCCCTCAGACAATAGAATATATATAACTATTATAAGCACCATGGTGTGCTTCTTTCATATCTATATGCGTAAGCATACATATATAGTCTTCTAATAAATTGAGCTGAGGTGGATGTATTTTTATTCATAGTCTGAATTTAGAATTCATGAGGTTATTTGCGATTCACTAACCAGATTTCAATATTGTTTCCAACTAACATTTTGCCTCAATGATTCTGCCAGCAGTAAATTCTACAATATATACACTTGAAACATAAAATACTCTTTCCTTTTAGCCTTGCACATTCACTGCCTTCAACTCTTCTGAGTGACCTATTAGTTCTGAGTTACGGGTTCAAGTGGAAAATGAAAAGCCTTTTGGCTATAGAGTGCCTTTCCTAACTTTGAACCTTTCTTGTTTATTGCCTCTAAAGGTTAAATAAAACACCTTGGTGCACAATTTCTTAAATGCTGTTGGTCTTGTTGCAATACAACTTTGCACATATCTTCAGCTCTCATCCCCAGACTTCATCCATCCTCCACCATATGCCAGTTAGAGCAATTTATTAACTTTCCACTTGCCTCCATTAAGTTGTATCAGCTAATTAGATCAAGGACAAAATAAAAAAGAAGATTGAAAATCTAAGTCATTTGCTTCTGGGTAACTCCCGGTTTTCCCAACAAACTGGGCTCAAAGACAGACAGCAGGAGAGAGAGAGAAAACAGTAAATCTGCAACTTTAGTACCACACTGAAGAGAGGGCTAAATTAGAAAAACATGTCAAGTCATTTGCAAAGGGCCCAATGCAAATCAGAGAAACTTTGAATGTTCCGGAGGTAGCAGGAGCGTTTCATCTTAGTTCACCCTAAGCTGACAAGCAGAACAGTTGTTTGCTGCACTTCACTCACTGGCTGGACACCAATGAAGAGCACAGTCAATTGACCGTCATCGATCCCTTCATTAAGCATGACAGTGGCATTGGGGGGCCAGTTGAGCAATGCTGTGTCAGTTTAACATTAGGAGGATCCTTTTCCTAATGCCAATTATCCTCACATATGCTCTCAATATTAATTGGAAGGCTCTCATTTCTGCTGGCATTTGGAATACATGGAGGATTTTAAAATAATCATTGTTTCTTTTATCTCTTTGGGATTTAGCTGTGTCCCTTAACAGAAATTATGATAAAGTATTCCATAGCTCTGTTAACTTTTTATAAAGAGTAACACAGTTACTGGAACTCATGTGAGTCTTAAGTTTTCTCTGGAGATTGCTTCCATGTGTTTCTCATGCTACCACAATGATCTTTAAGATGCATTACAAGCTATATCATATACCATACAAGATGAGTCCATTTCTGTCTCCATATTGCATCAGGAAACACTTGCTACTTTCCATTGACAGGAAAGATGGTGAGAACTGCAAGGCCATGTTTCATCAAAAGCTACCTCTTTCCTAAGCCAAAATGTAATAAATTATGAATCTTGTTCTTTTAAAAAATACTTATTTGAAATGTGAGGAGGGAGGCAAGGAAGGAGGGAGGGAGGGGAAAGGAGAGGCGGAGAGAGGGAGAAGGAGAGAGGGGGAGGGAGAGAAGGGGAGAGAAAAGGAGGGAGGGGAAGGGAGGAGGAAGTGGGAGGGGAGAGGCAGGGAGGGAGAGGGGGAGAGAGATGGAGATTTCTTCCATCTGCCAGTTCACTTCCCAAATACTCACAACAGTTGGGGCTGGATCAAGCCAAAGCCAGGAACCAAGAACACTATCCTGGTCTTTCACACTGGTATCAGGGGCTCAAATAATCTGCTGCCTTCCGGGCACATACACAGAAAACCAGATAGGAAGCAGAGTAGTTGGGGCTAAAACCAGTACTGTTGATACTGAATATGGGCATCCCATGTAGATACTTAACTTGCTGCACAACCACACAACACCTGACCCCAAACTATGATTCTTACCATAGTTTTAGCACAGGGCAGAGAAGCTTGCATTTTTACAAGTATCCTAGGTGACACTGGTTTACCCTAAAGTTCTAGAATTACTGCTATGTTAAGTGTGTATCAGAAACATGGGTTTGAATGTAAAGTCTTGTGTGAAATATGACCTATTAGAACATTGACATATAGCACAGCTCTAAAGTAAACAACAACAACAACAACTTGGGTCAGACTAAAAGTGCCAAGTTTTCTCTTTCTTCACAAGTGTCAGAACAAGAAAAATTGTTTAAATAATTGTACTTGAACCTAGCATTTTTTGATTTAGAACTGTGCAAAGTCAGGTTGAGATGATAACAGTGGCAGTCAGAGTATAATCCCTGCCATTGGGATATTTGGGGACCACAGTAATCCAGAGGGCTAGGAATGAATGGGGATCAGTAATGACACATTGGTATTAGAGTGGGGACTAGAAAGTCACAAATTTACATACTGCAGGATCTGAAGTTTGCTCATCTGGGAAGCACTACGATGGGTTTTGTTGTTGTTGTTGTTGTTATTGTTGTTTTGTTTTGTTTTTAAAGTGATTGTTAATCCTAACTAGCATCAGGACCTACACAAGATGAGAATGGGTTCAAATTTGTTTAAAAGAAATTTTTGATGCATTGATGTAAAGTTTAACTTGTTTGACACAAAGGCAAACTTGAGAACTGATATTTTAAGAGTGCAAGTCATTAGTGATGCTAATTTGGAATGGAGGAGAGGATCCCTGAAATCAGGAAATCCAACTAGGAAACTGCTGGAATGGTCCTGACAATTTCAGGACCTGCTACGAACTTCGTCTGCTGAGTTGTTAATGGCTCACTTTAAGTTAAGACCCAGCATCTCCTGGTCACCATGACAGATTATGATTCTACTATATAACAAAAACCCATCTAATAGTGTGACCCTTTATCAAGACATTCTGCCAATAAAATAACTTCCCAATGAAACAGTGTTTTGTAAGTTTTTCCATTGTCTGCTTGTAAAATTCTATGTTGTTTGAAAGCACATGCTCTGATTTTTTTTCCAAGTCAAAACTGCTTGTGATATCAGGGAGTCTAGTTTAAAACTTTATTTGAAGAATAAATGGTGGGCCACTCATAGCCTACAGCAGAAGAATTGAGATTTCCTGTATGAGATTCTGATTAATGTTTATTTGAAAAGTGGAAAAATCAGAGAGGGAGGGAGAGAGGGAGTGAAGGAGAAAGGGAGAAGGGGAGAGGGGAAGAGGGGGAGAAGGGGAGAGGGGGAGAGGGGGAGAGGAGGGAGAGAGAGAGATCTCCCATCACCAGGCTGAAGACAGGAGCCAGGAACTCAATCTGTGTCTCCCAAATTTGGCAGGAACCAAATTACTTAAACCATCACCTGCTGCCCCCAGGGTCTGATTCACAATGAAGCTGAAACTGGGAGCAGAGCCAGGGCTTGAAGTCAGGATGATTCTGATATGGTATGCATACGTCTTCCCTGCTACACCAAATGCCTGTCCCTCCACATCTGCAACTCTGATTTCTCTGCTTTCCATAGTTGCACAATCTGGCCATCTCCTCTCTCACTCTCACAGAGTTATCACAAGGTTTCATCTTAACAAAGACCCTTATTTAGAGTGAATTCTTCACAGTTGTGAAAACTCTTACTGGATCTAAAGAAGCATGTCCCTCAATCAAGAGAGAAAAAGAGAATCAAGTTAACCAACACTGTAATAGATGGCTTTCCAAATTAAGATTTGGAAATTAAGATGGATTTCCAAATCATTTTGGGAGTCAAAATAAATTCTCTTTTCTTTTTAAAACACTTCTATGTCTGGGTTCTCATTTGATTTTAAAAAGCAAACAAAACAAAACTCTTAGAAATTTCTGGAGCTGGTAATATTGTGAAATAGATGTCCTGAGAATGTTTCTAGCACAAATATCTTAGAAAGGCGTGACGAGTCTGCTAGAGAGTAATAAATACAGAGAGATCTCAAAAATTCAAGCAACATGTTAATACGTGCATAACTTGGCCATCTTTATGGAAGGAGGAAGATTGTTCCTATTCTGATCTAGCTCCAATAATAGCCTGGAAAAGCAGTGGAAGATGGGCCAAGTGCTTGGGACCCTGAATCCATGTGGGAGACCTGGAAGCTCCTAGCTCATGGATTCAGATTGGCCCAGCTCCAGCTGTTGCTGCAATTTGGGGAGTGAACCAGTGGATAGAAGAACTTTCTCTCTGTCTCTCCCCCTCTCTGTCTGTAATTATGCTTCTCAAATAAATAAATATTTTTTAAAAATTGTATTATATATACATGATGGAGTACTACTCAGCCATAAAAAAGAGTGAAATCCTGTATTTCATGAGTAAATGGTTGGAATTGGAGACTATTGTGCCTAGTAAAAGAAACCAATCCCAAAAAGACAAATGTCATGTTTTCCCTGATTTGTGGCAAATAATATATAGAATACAAAAAATGTAATATAGATGAGTGAAATTGATATTTTGAGATTTGATTATTGTTTATAACTCTTGTCTATACTCTTGAGCGATGGTGGTTTTTCTCCTTACTACTTGTTGAATTCCTTATGTAGTGTAGGATCAAGCTTGTGATTATAAAGTAAATTGAGAGTATATCATCACAAAAATTTAAAGAAAAATAAATGAAAGAGGAGAGAAGTTGGGAGTGAGGGAGGGAGTGTAGGGTGAGAAGTATCATAATGTTCTTAAAACTGTATATATGAAATACATGAGATTTGTTACTCTTTAAAAATAATGACATAAATAAGAATTTTTTTAAAAGATTCTTAAAAAGCTGAAAAGGTGTCCAGCCTTCATCTCCTCCATAGAGAAGAACAAAAACAATAAGTAGCTGCATTTTAGGTTGAGTGTTCAAGGAAGAATGCCAGAACTCAGTGCGGGAATAATGGAAACTCAGTAGGACATGGAGACCTAGGATAGCTGCATAGAGAGAGAGAGACAAAGATAATTGGCAACTGAGATCGCAGCACAATGGCTAGAGACGATCTCAATTGTGTGCAAAGAGTAAGTAGGAAAGCCTCATCAGAGTCTGTCTGCAGAATACCTAACATGGATAATTCTGTCTATAAGAGGAACCCACAGTCATCGCAGGCTGGGGGGTCCAGCATGGAGAATTACATGAGAACTCATTGTAGCCTTTGATTTAGAAAAGGAACTCATATTACATCCTCCACACCTCCCACAACATGAACTGCAGCAATAGGGCTCCATATTGTGAAAAAAGTCACTATCAAAATCCATATTGCCCTAGGTGACAGAAGTCTCTGCATATCCCCATTACTGAGGCCCCACAAGAACTAGCAAAAATGCTTGTGGCATCATGAATCCAATTAGATCCAGCAAAGAAATGTCCTTAGTGCCCTGGGTCATGCAGTACTCTACTCTATAAAGGATAGTGGATACAGTAGAGCAAGGGTCCTTCCCCCAGGACCCTAGAAAGAGAAGATTCTGACTCCCACAGACTTGACACCAACTGTCTTTTTTTTTTTTTTTTGACAGTCAGAGTGGACAGTGAGAGAGAGAGACAGAGAGAAAGGTCTTCCTTTTGCCATTGGTTCACCCTCCAATGGCCGCCACGGCTGGTGCACTGTGGCCGGCGTACCGCGCTGATCTGAAGGCAGGAGCCAGGTGCTTTTCCTGGTCTCCCATGGGGTGCAGGCCCAAGCACTTGGGCCATCCTCCACTGCACTCCCGGGCCATAGCAGAGAGCTGGCCTGGAAGAGGGGCAATCAGGAAAGAATCTGACGCCCTCACCAGGACTAGAACCCAGTGTGCAAGTGCCGCTAGGTGGAGGATTTGCCTACTGAGCCGCGGCGGCGGCCAACACCAACTGTCTTCACTATTTCCCCTATCCCTGCTGCTGAAGGCTTTGTTGGCTTTTGCTGGGGTCTTTGTAAACCTGAGCTCCTGACCGTGGATCTCATGACCCCAGTGTCCATCGATGCTCAGAGTGGTGTGCACTCAGGACTGAGCAGGCACCACATCCATCCTGGACCAGCACTGCTCCTGGGGCTCCGGCACCTCCTTTAGGATTGGCCACGGGTCTTCACACATGGCCCACTCCCAGTGACAGCCTGGCTTATGTCAAGCACCAGTGCTTCTCCCTCAGCTCTAGCTGACGATGTAAGTACTGGTTGAGCATCTACATGCCTGATATTAGGAAAAGACTTGCAGATTGGGGCCTCCTCACACGGGACAACAAAAATGTTAGGGAAAAGAGGCACAGAATAGAGAGGTGGCACTATATGAATCTACAGCCAGATTGAATTTATTCAGAGAAAATAAATTTGCAGAAGTGGGTGACCAACTTGTGGCATGCACATTGATGGAACACGTGGCAGAAGGCCCCAATCCCAGGGGCTGGACCTTTTTACATTTTAGAAGGGCTAGGGATGGGGGTGGAGGTGGAGGGAGCAGGTGGGGTGAATTCCTGGAACTGGTCTTTCAGGTGGCCTTGGGGATCTTTGGGAACCTGGGAAAGAATGCAGGGGTATGAAGGCAATAGGGTGTGAGACCCAGTTGAGATTCAAGAGCAAGGAATAAACTCCAAGGTTTATCTATCTTTGGGGCCATGAGCAAGAATGGCTGAGGCTTATGTCTATGTTCCATCACCTGGGAACTGAGAAACCCTGCTGGGCCCTAGAAGCACCCTAGATTTCTGCTGTTCCATCAGCTGATATTACAACTGTTTACAATAAAAAAAGATATAGGGAGCTCAATCTACAGCATCTAACTGGAAGAAAGCCATATAAGCCTACCAAACTGATATTGAAGACATATCTTCCAGAAAAAAAATTTAACAAACCACCCTTTAAATGCAATAGGAACAACTGATCCCCCAAATGTATAAATATTAGTATAGTTATACAAAAAATATGAAAAGCACAGCAAATAACACTTCAGTATCAAATGGTTCAGAAAAAGACACTGATGAAATACCTTGCAGCCGGCGCCACAGCTCACTAGGCTAATCCTCCGCCTTGCGGCGCCGGAACACCGGGTTCTAGTCCCAGTTG